CACAATGGACATTTTATAGCACAGTAGCTTCTTCAGATTGAGGAAACACCAAACTTTCTAAATGTTAAAATTTAAAATTGTTATTGAAACAATATTATTGTTCTGGCAAATGTTTGAGGACATGATAGTGTTTAATAAATTCTGATGTTTTATGCGAAACGTGCATATTTTGAATGAATTCGTTATTTTTTACAAAATAAAACACCCTAAATTCAAATGCATTGTACAAACCGAACACCCCGTAAAGTGTTTTCATTTTTCTAATAATTTCTCGAAATTCTTTTGTTATGCAGTCGTTCTGCGTACGATTCATGACAGTGGTGTAACGCGTAACGCAGTCAGAGCGTTTCTTACATTGGTTGCACTGTAAATCGAATTTGAGCTAATATCGGTAAAAACAAAGACAACAGCGGGGTTACTCTGTCGCTATTAATTTCTTTATTGTTCCACTGTTCCTACAATAAATGCTTTGATGCGGCTGAATACAAACGCTGTAAAACATCATACATGCATTCATTCCTTCATTCATTCATGTGCATTCAGTAACACCTCCCGCGTTTGCAATGAATTCCGTGTAATAAGAGCAAGAATCGTTCTCGTTGTATATGTGTAGATATGCCAGTACCAGTTCTCTATTTCAACCAAAGATGTATGATAACAAGTAGATCTTTGTTTTGTTTTTGCAACTAGTTATACATATGTACATATCTACTAATTCATCCGTTTTACAAAACGCCTCGCCTGATAGCTGTTGAGATTATCTTTATAAGACATTCAATACTGGCGAATTGAGAACTGAGCATTGGGATATGCTTTATATGCAATAATCAAAGACATAAAAAAGAAAAATGCGGACAAACAAATTTGTAATTTCTGTGTTTGATGAACAATTTCCCTTATCTGTATGTGAGTTAGTTTAGCCTAAAAAGTCAACCTACTTATTCCTAGAACAGAAACCGCAATTGTATTGACCTCTTTTTATTTGTGGATTTATCATTAAAATTTGAAATATTTAAATTGTACTAACATTAAAAACCAATTTATTGCCCCGTTGGGAATCGTGCCGTGATTGTTGTATTTACAATAATAATTGTCCTGTAGGTACTATAACTCTGCATTTGCGGTGTGGTTGTATGTATTTACAGTGAGTGGTTAAATAATTAAATTCGTGGTTATTCAAAATTAAAAGCAGGTTTTCTGGTACATTAGCAAATTATCTGAGAATTGTCATTGGTGTTAATTACGTAATTTATTTTGTAACTAATTACCTATGTGCTATGTGCCTATTATAACCACAGTTACTGTTGTTAGTAGATATATACTTACAAAAAACAAACTACTAATAGTTATTCTTCTGAAACTTCTGTATCGACGGTAGACAGGAAATTTACTTAGGTATAAAACCGAAAAATGTAACGTTGCGTGTTACAGCGTCACGCGCCACGTGTGACACCTGGTGGATATGTCCAAAAGGAGTCATTTTAACAGGCTTCCGAAAATACCGATTTCGAAAAATTATGCGTTTGTGTTTGTTTGTTTATTTAAATCAATATTTCGCATTCGTCAGCTCGAAATAAAGTTATATTTTTCTGGTGTTTAGTAATTAGTTAATGCAATAGTTTAAGCCAATATTTTTTAAAAAATACTACTATAATAAACGATCTAATGAAGTTTCACTATTTATATGTGTACACTAATATACGCTCTCCCCTTTTTGATATAATTTTGCAAGAACTCAATTTAATTTTTTATGAGATAAAACACCTAAATTCGACCACTCTGTACAAATCGAATTCCACGTGCAGTTTTCATTTTTCTTGTAATTTCTCGAAATCCTTTTGTTACGCGGTCGTTTTGCGTATGATTTATGACAATAGCGTGACACAGCAAGAAGTTTTCTTAATTTATTGATTGCACTTTGTAATTGAATTCGAGCCAATATCGGCAAACATAAAGACAGTCTCTTTATTTTATTAAATTCTCGAAATAATTTTGTAAGAATTATTTCTATTTTTAGTAAAATTATTAGCTACATTGTGAGAGGTTGTTGTCAGGTTCGTGTCTTCGCAAATTTAGAAGACGGACACGCACATTTTTCTCCATTCTTTTTTTTGTTTAACCTTTAGGTTTGCTTGCTTTATAATAAGTCGCTTGCACGCAAAGTTTACTTTTAGAAATAATGAACCCCAACGGAATAAAAATTGTTGCTGAAAGTGATTTTGATAGTCGCTTGTTAAAAAGTGGGGATTTTTTACGTGTTCTAATTTCATTAGTTGCGTTTGCTTTTTGCATCATCCCCGTTATGAAATTGATGTTAATATGTATTTATATGTAGAAAAGTATCTACTGATTGAGGGTGACATTTTGGATTGTTTTTGAAATCGAGTTAGAACAAAGGGACTATTAAATTAATTCACGATCTTCAGGGATTAAGACATAAAGGATTCCATACCCCAAAGTTTTTAAGATTCGTAAACCATCATTTCGTATATTTTTCACGTATTGGAAATAAATCGCAGACTATTGAGAAGATGCTTTTTCTACATCAAAGAACCTCTATTTGTGAATAAAGAAGCCTTGATGTAGTGGCTTTTGTTATACATGTATCACCCCCAATTTCTTCCCTTTAGTTCGATGTATAATACAATCGTTTTTGAGCACTTTTCTTTTGGTTAAATTTTTCGGCAATCTCGCTAAAAGGTTCCTTTTTGAACCAATGAGTCCTAAAGGACCATTACCGGGATTCTTTCTTTGTTCGACCCTAGTGTCTTGAACTGGCCAGACCATTTAATAAAAGGTTTAAATACTAGTGAGGATAAATATTGCATTATCTATTTTAAAAATAGTAAAGAATCAGAAAATCGAAAGCAATTGCCTATATACGCGTTGTAACACCGACAGACAGTTGCATTGGGATTTTTATGAAGCCATAACAATCCGGCGGGGGTAAAGGGGGAAGGGTGTATCTACTTAAAGTCTGCTTTGTTTCGAATGTAAAAGAAGCCCATTATATGAATGTCCCTTTACAAAAGCTCCGTAAAACATAAACTTTAAAGCCCATTAAAGGATGTTGAACTGTGGAAAACTTAACAAGCAAGATTATTCATGTTATAATAGCTACCTATAATATTCGTTTGTGTGCATTACTTTACAAAAAAATGCTTATTTATAACTTACTTGATCGCTCTGGTTCGTGTCAGCGCACGGCTACGCAGAAGATGGATTTTTTTTAATGTTTCGATAACCTTAGCGTCTCATCGCCATCGTACAGAAAATTCGATGAAAGCAAAAGTAAGCAAGTTATTTAAAACGAACATAAACGCGTGCACCAGTACACAGTTTAAAATGCCATTCCATTTCTTAAAAAGCTTATGTTAATTATTTCAAGGAAATTGTCGTAAAAAATACTGTTTCTTTATTTTTAAGTATATCTACAAAAACAATTGGAAGAAGTGACTGATTTTAGGTATCTAGGAAGTCAGATAAGTCAGGACAGAAGCAATAAATTTATTTTAGAAATTTGAAAAAGATTGTTAAAGGTGTAGGGGAGACCGGGGATAGTTGACTATAGGGGTAGGTAGACTAACTACCGAAAACTCTTCGACAGTGTATGAACTATGTCATCTGATCAAAACCAAGCATTACATTTCGCGTCCCGCTCAGTTATCTGAAGCGTCACATCGGGGTCGTGCGTTGTTTTCGAACACTGACATGTTTTTCATATTTCAATTACATATAAGTAATATTTTGATATATTGTATTTTTTGATCTGATGCCTACTCGTTTTATGTAAACCATTTTTCTATTAGTCCTAGCATTGAATGAGGGCACATTTATCATATTTCATATCTTATTTTTCAAGTCAACGGCAGTGTTTAGGCTAGCCATGCTATCAAAATTAAAATTGGCGTCTGGGGTTGATAACCAATTTTTTCCGGGGCTGGTTGAATAATTATTCAACCAACCCCAATGAAATATGTAATTGAAAACAACACATAAATTAACTTTTTATTGGACTTTTAAATCGTTACGTGGCCAAATTAAAAAAAAATTTGAACAGAATCCGAAATTGACGAGAGCAGAATTAACCCTGGACACAGTGGAATATATAAAAAATTGACAAATTTTTACTAATCTAGAAGAGGAAACTTTAGCCAGTTTATTTTTTAACAAAAGGTTCAATTATATTAAAAAAATGTTTAATTATTTGCTCATTGTCATGATTTGACTCTTAATACTGGTACATGAGCCAACTTACCCCGGGCATATGGTCTACCTACCCCGGGTCAGGGGTAGGGGTATTTTGTAAAATACCTTAAATCATCACTATTATACTAAACTAAGAACTAAATATTACATATTTTTATTAGGTTAATAGATTTTCTATCAATTGACATGCTTTTCTTGTCTATATTCATTAAAACACAAAAAATACGATCTATTCAGTAAAAAACTAGTCAACCATCCCCGGTCTCCCCTACGCTTGGAACGCAACACTGTACGGGTGCGAAATATGGACGGTGGGCGCGGCGGAAAAAAAGGTTAGAAGCGTTCGAAATGTGGTGTTACAGGCGAATGATGAGGATTCCTCTGATAGAGAAGGTTAGAAATGAAGAGGTATATATATATGTAGGAAAATAGAGGGCTGTATGGAAGTCAATGAGAAACAAGCGAGATAGGTAGGTAGGACACCTCTTGGGCATGAAGGTCTAGTTCAGGAACATATTAGAGGCAAAAAATGGAGTTAGGAGGGGTAGAGGTGGACCTAGATTAGATTACTCTTTGCAAACAGTTAAGGATGTGGGTTATTCTAGTGTTAGGGAAATGCGAAAGTTAACTCAGGATAGGAAAGAGTGGAGGTGCGTGTACAACTAGTCTTAGGACTGACGACCTTATAATGATAATATCTACAAAATAATTTATTGAGATGTATATTATTAGAACTTACAGCAACCCTTACATAAATAAATGTTTAATTTTTCGTTTTTTTTTTGTTTCAGAATGTGGACCACAAGTTAAAGTTCCGTTCGAAGAAGGGCCAGTTGCCCTTCATCGAATTGAACGGCGAAGAAATCGCCGACAGCGCAATCATAATCAAAGAATTGTCGCAACGTTTCGGCCACGATTTGGATGCCGCTCTCAACGTGGAACAGCGCAACGTTGCCCACGCCACGATCTCGATGATCGAGAACCATCTCGCGTGGGTGATAATGTGGTGGCGCACCAAATTCCCGGAACAAATGCTTAAGGCGTACAAAGTCAACTTGCAGAGTGCGCTCGGTACGCGCATTCCCAACGGAATTTTAAACTTCCTCTTCAAGTTCAGTTACGGACGAAAGGTGAGCGAAACATACTAATTACATTTCGTTATTATTATTATTCGTTACATTGAAGGCAGTAATTTATTTATTTCTCTTGACTTGTGCTTCTTAAAGCATCTTCCTCGTTGGTTTATATATATAGTATTAGAATAGAGCGAATGTTGGGCGAAGAATCACTAGAAACAACTGAATATACAAATTTAGTATTGTCTCATTATTAAAACAAAGCTTTCACCTAAAAAAAGTCCAATATCTTGCGTAATGCGGTCCAAGAATGAAGAAGAAATATGCTGAATATTTACTGTTTGATTTTGTTATTGTTGTTAAATCTTTTTCCTCTTAGATCAGGCTTCAATTTGAAAAACAAAAGTAGTCTGAGGGGGGACCAGATCAGGCTTGTAAGGGGGGTAATTAATCTCTATGAAGTCACAGTTTTTAAGGGTTATTTTCCCTCTGCTTTTTTCAACAATTTTTTGGTGTAACTGTCGTAGTAAGTCACTGCAATAATCTGCGTTAAAAACCGTGTTACGTTCCTTGAATTCCCTCACATTCCCAAAAGATTGTAGCTTCTTACTGCTCTAGGAGACCTTAGCATTTTTTTGGTACCAATTTTCCCTTTTTGTGACATCCCATTGAATCTCGTTTAGATCAGATCATAGTAAAGAATCATAGTTTCATCGCAGATCATAATCGAGTCAATAACTGCTTCCTGGTCCTCACAGCAAAGCTCTAAAAGTTCTTCACAACATTCAGGCGTCGCTTAATGAAGGCAAAATCAGATTAGCCCCTATCTATTTTCTGCGTGAGGCTATGAAGTCTTGGACCGCACTACGCATAAATGTTTATTCCAAAAATATATCAATAAATTAATCGTGATATAATTGTGAATGTTTTTTAGGTTTTTTTTTTGCATGTCTACTTTTTGTATTATGCTATTTTGATATGACAGACTTTATGGTAAAAAATTGTTTTCTATTGATGTTTTTAAATTCCACTTTGTAGAATATCGACAGGTAACTTTTTGAGATTTTTTTACAAGATGTTTACCCTAAAATCTGTTCAAAGAATGACATGTTAATAATACCGTTGGATATCTTCTTGCATACTGTAGTGATGTAACGGTATAGCATGCTACTTCCCGTATTGTGTTATTAGAGTTTATTTTAATTTCATTCTGACGGCTTAGTGGTTCCAGGGAACAAAAAAAGTCAAAGCTCAAGGAATCGGCGTCCACTCGCCCGAGGAAGTCATTGAATTTGGACAAGGGGACCTGAAGGTGTTGTCAGATATGCTGGGCGAAAAGCCATTCTTCTTTGGAGACAAACCAACAAACGTGAGTCGAAATATTCTTTTTTTTTTTGTTAATTTGTGAGTACAACTTACTCTTTTTTGCAGCTTGATGTTGTGGCATTCGCAAACTTGGCTCAAATCTATTTCATCGACAAAGAAGTTCAGTTCACACTGAAGGATTACATGTCAGATAATTGTCAGAATTTGGAAGGTTTCGTCAACCGAATGAAGGAGCGCTGCTTCCCCGACTGGGAAGACATTTGCACCACCTTAGATCTTAACACTCACCTCCCCAAGCCTCCTGCAGAAGAGACTAAAGAAAAAGAGGGCAAGGACGAGAAAGGTGAAAAAGAAATGGAACCTGAAGATAAGGATATTGAAAAAGAAAAGGTAAGTTTGTTTTTTTGTTAAACTGTACTGTAAAATTAAGAATAAATCAAATCAAAGTCAGTATGTTCTTTCGTGTAATAAACGTTATATATAATTTATGAAAAGGTTAGAAATTAAGAGGTATTGGAAAGAATAGGAGAACAGAGGACTCTATGGAAGTCAATAAAAAATAGGCGAGATAGGTTAGTAGGATACCTTCTCAGGCATGAAGGTCTAGTCAGAGACATATTAGAGGCAGAAACAGGAGTTAGGAGGGTTAGAGGTAGACCTAGATTAGATTACTGTTCGCAAATAGTTAAAGATGTGGGCTGTTCTAGTTTTAGGGAAATGCGAAGTTTAGCTCAGGATAGGAAAGAGTTGAGGTACGTGTCCAACCAGTCTTAGGACTGACATCCTTATGATGATGATAATTTATGATTAATTACAAGTTTATTCCAAAAAAGATCGTCGACGTTTAAATTATTGTCATTTATCACTTTAGAATTTCATGAGAATCGATACATAATTTATTTATTTTATTAGTTTATTGCTCTTCGTAATCTGAACGGTTTTCTTTATGATTTTGAGTTGAAATTTATGCCTAATAAAATATGACATAATAGGTCAGAAAATATATTAATTTTAGAGAAACCTTATCTTATCTTTAGACACATAATTAATAACAAAGTAATCGACATCAAAGGCAAAATTAATTCATGCAGAAATATGCGAAAACTGTAAACAATGATTTGGAATTCGATTTTTAAAAATTTGTGGGTAAATATCCACTCGTACGTTCGTTAATGTGAACAAATCGATAATGAATCGCTCTTTACAAAAAAAAGTATGTACTTTTAATTTTTGTTCTATTTTTTTTCTAGATTGACGAAAAAGAAAAAGAAAAGGAGAAAGATAAAGATACGGCCGAAAACAAAGAGAAAGAATCAAAGTGAAGAGACCTTATTAATTAATTTATAAGGTCCCACTGCCAAAACTATTTTTACCTCTCTCTGATCCACCCATCCTCTTTTCCGCCTTTTATCATTGCTCTTTGTCTAAAATAGTCCAGTACGTTCTTTTAATTCCTGTTTTAAATACCTGTCGTCCTTTACGTTCTTTGTTTTTATTTGTGCAAGTCTAGTTTTTAAGATACACATTAAATTACAACGCATATATCATTAGGCATCAACAGAATCAAAAAAAAAAAGAAAGAAAAGTAAGAAGAAAAAATTCTTTTTTATAATTATTGATTACANTATAAATTTTTAAAGTAAGCAAACATCTTCGTGTGTGCAATGCACCGCCTACTAAGGACTGATTAAAAGCAGTACAGTGGCGACCATTCTATTATCGTAAGTAATTATTTCTAGGTGAATTACAACAGCGGAATTTTTTAATCTAAGTAAAGGAAAAATTCCTATAAAAAAAAATGAGTTCATTCATGAAAATTCAAAACAACAACATATAACAACTACCCAATTAAATAACACACATTAATTACAGTTTGCATTTCTCTTATTCTGTATTCATTCCACATGTTTTGTTTTGTTTGTTTTTATTAAAGAACGAAAAAAAAAAGTTAAAAAACGGCGTCACGAATATTAACCATAGCTTACAGTGTCGATTGTAGATTTTTGTATTTTTTTAAAATAATAATATAATTGTAAGGATGTATGCTACATTTCTAATGCATTTGCTAAATTGTAAATTGGTTGTATGTTGTCAGTATGTATCTTAAGCTCAAACATTAATAGAATTTTTTTTAAAAAATACTACTATAATAAACGATCTAATGAAGTTTCACTTTGCAGAGGATGAAATTTCCTGCAAAAAGTTCAGAAAATTCTAATGGAAAACCAAAAACAAATGTTTGAGGATTCTTTTTACCAGATCTTCGAAAACAATGTCAGAGAAAAGAATTTTGACTTATCTTAAAATTTCCTACAAACATTTTTGATTTAGTAATCCATACTTGGAAACGAATGTGAAGGTTTATTAAAAACGAATTTATGTAGACACAAAATTAATGTTACAAAATACAGTAAAAGCTCTTTATTCGTGGGGTATACGTTCCATAAATATGCCGCGAATATAGAAGTCGTGGATATGGAATGGTAATTAATATGGAATCATAGAGGATACGTTCTACGGTTCCAAAATAAAACCAATATGTATCAGAATAAAATCAATTTATTGAGAATTAATTAATATTAATCGTAATTTAGGTTTATAAGCTTTAGGCAAGGGCAAGGACGATACATTAAGGGATGTAGTAGATATCATGAATATAATGTTTGGAACAGTGGTTCGAAATTTTGTAGTAAGATAGATAAAGCTTTGTTCTAAAGCCTGTCGAAGGCCATTTTTTAATTTTTTAATTTCTACTGAAAATACGTGTCCTACAAGAAGCATCAACTTTAAGTACTTATAAAAGCTTTTACTGACTATATTATTGAAAACCAAAAACGTACCGAGTTAGTGTGGACCTTTGTCTGTTACCATACCATCACATATTTATCGCGCAGCATTAAATCATAATGTTTATAATAAAAACCTANTTTACCAATAAATTTCTTAACTTGAATAAGTTCAGGCCTTGAAAATAGTTGCATTGACTGTCAAGGACAGTGGAAGGTGAACTGGTTTTCTTATCTCCACACAGACATTGTACGTCTTAATCCATGCAGTTTTAATAAATCTAAACGGATGAAAATAGTCTTTTGCCGAGAATAATATTATTTATAATCAATTTTTTACAAGTTAATGCCAAAAAATTAGCAGATGAATGACAAGATTTATTTTCAATTGAAATTTTTATCTTATTGGTCGAGTAAACAGTAAAGAATCGAATAAGTAAACAACAGCAGGTACCCATGAAATCGGCAATCGTCGTAAACATTATTTTCATTCGTCTATTGAGTCATTCAGTGTTCGTTTCACAATTAGTGTTAAAAAGTCGTTCGCCGGTTAAGGATGCGTATTATAGTCGTCGGTAGAAAGTGTTTTAGTTATTGTGCTTTAATATATGATATGGCAAAGGATAATCTTCATGTAAGAGCATTTTAGACAGTGTAAGTACCTAATTGGTTTCAATTACATAAATTAAGTGTATTAATTAATCGGATTCCCTAAATTTAGTGTTGAGTGATACATTTTTCTTTTGAATGGTATCACTACTAGCGCGCAAAGCAGAAGTTAAGCTTTGACCCATTTTAGCAACAAAATCATTGGATCTTCACCAATAAAAACGAATCACACAACCCTCAATTCAGTGGATCCGAATTGGAGTTTAATTTAGATGATATTTGGTTTTACATAAATGTATGAACTTTTTTGCGTTCTGGGAATAATAGGTACCATTCCGAAGCTCTTTATCTAAGCATTCCAAAAACGTATAACTCAATCCTTAATTCAGTGGGTTCGAATTGGAATTTAATCCAGATGATATTTGATTTTTACGTAAATATATAAACTTTTGTACGCCCTGGAAGTAATAGGTACCATTCCAAAGGTCTTTATCTAAGCATTCCAAAAATGTATAACTCTACCCTTAATTCAGTGGGTCCTGTCTGGAATTTAATCCAGATGATATTTTGCTTTGTGTACAAATATATAAACTTTTTTGCGCTATGAGAATAATAGGTACCATTCCAAAAGTCTTTATAGAAGCATTCCAAAAACGCATCATTCAATCCTCAATTTTGTAAGTCCGATTTGGAATTTAATCTAGGTGATATTTGGTTTTTACACAAATACATGAACTTTTTTGTGCCCTGTGAGTAATAGCTACCATTCCAAAGGTTTTTATCTAAGCATTCCATAAAACGTATAACTCAACCCTCAATTCAGTGGGTCCCATCTGGAATTTAATCCAGATGATATTTGGTTTTTACATAAATACATGAACTTTTTTGCGCCCTGGGAGTAATAAGCTCCATTCGAAAGGTTTTCCGAAAAGGTGTCACTCAACTCCCAATTCAGTGGGTCCGAAATGAAATTTAATTTTAATAACATTTGATTTTTACACGAATATTATATGACAATCGCAAAGTAAAATTTAAACATTAAAATTATCAATAGGAATTATCTATAGTCTAATCGTAAATTACGTTAATGCAGATGTATTGTAAAACCCATCGTAATCCCATCATTATAATATGATGCAACTTGCAAGATGTAGCCTGTTTTGTTTAGGAAATGGGTTAGGAATCAAGCAGGTTTACGATTTTCCAGCAGTTAGGTATATTTTTTCGCTTTGTTTTGTATTTGTGTTTACTTTTCAACACTTGTTATAATTAACGACAAGCTATTAAAGCATTTTTTTAATTAAATGATAAAAAACTAGTGGTAGATTTCAGTGAATTTATTGGAAAACTCGACTTTTTCAGCCTATGCTCTGACTTATACTTTCGGGTGAAGGAGCCTATTTTTTATGATTATTAAATTAAAATTTTATATATTATCGAGATTATTTTTTATGGAACCGTTGGAAACAGGTAACGAGTAATAAAAAAAGCATAAATTAGGACTAATCCAGAAAGGGCTAATTTGCAATAGATTTCTCATTTAAGTCATGTCTTTCGCCTTATTCGTTTGATTAGTAAATCACATAAATTGCTCATTTAGAAGACATAATAATGCAACTTGATCTAAAAATGTTATAATATATACATATATTTAATAGCGATTAGAAAGAGTGCGGCACGATTGTTCACACAAGTCAGACGAACACTTCGTGAGTGGTATTAGAGGAAAAGTACCTACTTACATGTGTCTATATATATGCAGAAAACTCAAAAACAAAAAATTAATTGTGGTTCTATCTACATATTAAAAAGTACGAGGTTTTTTCGTAAATAAATTAATGCAGATATATATTCAGTTGTATATTTTTATTGTTATTATCAAAGTTTGTACAGATCACACAAGTCTCTTAATAATGTAAATCGATGATTACATTTTTTTTTAAGAATTTCTAAACATACTTTCACAATAAGGATAAACCCAAATCAACGTTTCGTTAAATTAAGAATTAAAATCTTTACAAACAACGCCGTCATCTCAGACGCGAACAAAAATAAGTTGCAATAAATATAAATTAATTATTTATAATCGATATGTACATTATTTTAAAATAACATGTAGATGTGTAAGAAAAGAATAAAAATTATAGTATTATGATTGAAACAATAATATATTAAATTACTACGGCGCAGTTAATAATTCATCTGTTATGCTGTCCGATTTGACTAGTTCTGCTTTTATTAAACTTTTCAACCCTGTTTTTCTTCCTTCGACGGACGTGCTCTTCTCAAGATGGTATTGTTGAGAATATACCTTTAAAACAGCAGGTATTAGATAATTATAAGTTACGTTTTCTAAGTCACGAATGATAAAAGGGTGCTGTTTAACTCGAGTTAGTAGATTTATTATATTTTTTTAAAACGTTAAGCTAAGCGCACATAAATCGGAATCGGACGGACGCAACGGCACGGAAAAAATAAAATAAGTGTATGCAATCGGACGAAACGGCTGGCATTTTAAAAATCCGCCGACTTCGAGAAACAGAATAATTTAATGATGGTCAGCGAGAATCATGAATGTTAAAAGTTTAATTAAACAATATCATTCATTATACAACTCTGAAGTCGTCTGTTTGTTTAGTTAAAGAAACATTTTACTTTTGTTCAGTTGCTTCTAAACAATTTCAGTTAACAGAAAATTTGTCAGTTAAATGAGATATTTTGGAATAAAGTTAAGGCTTATGATTTACAACCCTCACAACTCTGTGAAGTAGTCGACTTTTATAAATTTTGCAATAAAACGGATACAGCATTTTCCCTATTTCGTTATCAAAACAAATTAAATTTCCCTGACATGTTCGAGGTAAGAAAAATTTCTACTTTACTGTTGAATTATTATATATATATTACTTACAACAATTTTAGATCACGATTTCAGACAATATATGTATATATATGCACTGCGTTCGTATTGTCTTTTCCTACCATAATTTGTCGTAAAATTCCGCTTAAAGACTTGGTCTGTTAATTATCGTTACGGCTCATTTTTTCGAAGAAAATTAGTAGAACTTCGAATTAAGAGGCAATTTATAATGTAAAATCTACACTCATATCTTGAGTTAGAGGAAAATTCTAATTACAAATGTGGAGAAATTCGAGCCAAAGAGTTGGGGGTAAATGTAAAACAATGTAGATGCCAAGGGAGCAGAAAACTATCGGAATTAGAAGAGATTTCGGTTAGACTGTAGGTAGTTGTTAGTTTTACTTACTTTTAACCTATTTCCTAAAAATACTGCCCGCTCTCTCTTCTTTATCATGTGGTCAGAGGGTGACAACCACCTGTTCTCGTGACATTCTTCCGCCGTAGGTCGTTTCCTACGCAAAAATAATCGATTTCAATTCGAGAACAATTTAAATTAATTAACTTTGTTAATTAATACTTATTTAAATTGTGGCTTACGTTGGATTGCGTTTGAAGAGGAGCATCAAAAATCTCGTTGCTTCCTGTGAAACTTCATTGAATAAATACTCGAAACGATAACGAACAAATGATATATTTTGACGCGTTTCACCGTCGTCTTCGCCCTTAAATGGCGCCATCCCAGAAAGTAACACGTACATCAGCACCCCTACACTCCAAATATCTGTTTGCGGAAAGGCCAATTCTCCATTTAGTACTTCGGGGGCTAAAATAAAATATTTTCATCATCGGAATTACTCAAGTTATAAAAATTGAACCGAAAATAGTTTGATTCTTAATCATTTGAAATTATCAGAAGTTAAAGCTCTTCGAAGATATTAACATTTAGAATACATGTATGAGTAGTTAATAAATTGTACTTACAAATGTAATCGGGATGGCCTACTATAGGAACTTTAGTACCTAGTTTTGTAACGCGATGGGCAGAACCCATGTCAACTAATTTAATTTGGACGGATCTTACTCCACACATGACAACATTGTCAGGTTGAATGTCCAAATGGCATAAGTTTCTCCAGTGTAGATACTGAAGGGCATCTAAAACCTTTAAAAAAAAATACAAAATACACCTAGACTCTGCCCAACTTTGTACGTAATCCTAAAATGTAGCATCGTACTACAGATGGCGTTTACCGCGCCATTTGTAGTATTTTCTAAAACGCGCTGTTAAGACAGCAGGTAAATTTTGGTCTGTGTTCTGTCGGAGCTGTCTGCGATGCGCTGATGAGATCCAGAAAGATAAAAATCGCGATCCGCGTCTGGCAGTTTCGACAGAATACAGACCACTTCGAATTATTTTATTCGATTAAGCTAACGTGCCTATCACGTTGAGGTTGGCTACGCCGGGATTCGTTTTCAGCAAGTAGATATCCACACAANATTCAGTATATAGTTACATTAGTTCGACGGATCGTTAACCTTGTAGGTCGGTTGGTCGTGGTTGTTGTTGTCACCTCTCGTAGTTTAGTGGTCAGAACATTGGTGCGTAAAGCCAAAGGTCCCGGGTTCGATTCCCGACGGGGGTGTGACAACAGCAACAATTTTTCCCTCATTAATTTGAGGTAGCGTGTAGTGGGTAAAAAATTCAGAAATGAATTTTCAGAATAATATTTCATATTAAACTAACTCACTTCTAAAAGATATCTAAATTATATGTATGTTTAATCATAGTATATTCAGTATATAGTTACATTAGTTCGACGGATCGTTAACCTTGTAGGTCGGTTGGTCGTGGTTGTTGTTGTCACCTCTCGTAGTTTAGTGGTCAGAACATTGGTGCGTAAAGCCAAAGGTCCCGGGTTCGATTCCCGACGGGGGTGTGACAACAGCAACAATTTTTCCCTCATTAATTTGAGGTAGCGTGTAGTGGGTAAAAAATTCAGAAATGAATTTTCAGAATAATATTTCATATTAAACTAACTCACTTCTAAAAGATATCTAAATTATATGTATGTTTAATCATAGTATATTCAGTATATAGTTACATTAGTTCGACGGATCGTTAACCTTGTAGGTCGGTTGGTCGTGGTTGTTGTTGTCACCTCTCGTAGTTTAGTGGTCAGAACATTGGTGCGTAAAGCCAAAGGTCCCGGGTTCGATTCCCGACGGGGGTGTGACAACAGCAACAATTTTTCCCTCATTAATTTGAGGTAGCGTGTAGTGGGTAAAAAATTCAGAAATGAATTTTCAGAATAATATTTCATATTAAACTAACTCACTTCTAAAAGATATCTAAATTATATGTATGTTTAATCATAGTATATTCAGTATATAGTTACATTAGTTCGACGGATCGTTAACCTTGTAGGTCGGTTGGTCGTGGTTGTTGTTGTCACCTCTCGTAGTTTAGTGGTCAGAACATTGGTGCGTAAAGCCAAAGGTCCCGGGTTCGATTCCCGGCGGGGGTGTGACAACAGCAACAATTTTTCCCTCATTGATTTGAGGTAGTTTGTAGTGGGTAAATAAAAAATCGAAAAAATGATTTCAAATAAATATTGCATATTAATCCACTATTAAGTAACTAACAATGTCATAGGATTTCATATATTTAATATTCTTTAATTTACCTGTGAATTTCAGAGATAAATTCATAATTTTGTTCAGGACTTCCAAGTCGCCATTCAACAGGTTTCGATTCAAATGTGTAATCGGGTCTCAATTTCACTTCCGGTTCTACTTCAGCACCGCTGTTTGTTATTTCCTGAAGATGGGCCATCGCCTTGTTCAGTTTTATCTTGGGTTGTCCTAAATTGTAAAATTATTTTAATTTCATCGTTGGAATAATTGACGCATTACTCATCAATTTTAGTAAAACATTTTCAGAATAATCTGCTCAACTTTTATTGCATTCTTTTCAAGTTTAATTTTGTTTAGTTATGCACTTACCTAATTCCGTTTTAACCACTTTGGAGGGAATTCCGAATTCGCTCCAACCAAAAGCATTTTTAGCTGCTAGTCTGAAAATGTATCCAGTTTCTGGTTGCAAATCCCTGGTCAAATAGAATTCGTGATCAATATTTGCAGCTCTATCTGACCATTCTGTTTCTTCGGTAGTTTTCACTTGTAGTTTGTAACATAGAACCGGAGAGTTTCCGTCATGTTTTGGTTGCTTCCAAGTCAGTAGCACTTCAGTGTCGGATTTTTGAGCCGCTTCCGGCGAATCGGGTGCATCAGGGACTTGTCCCAAAACAATACGTGTGTAAGCAACGGTTTGCCCAAGTTTATTACGAGCTACGACTTTGTACATTCCCAAATCGAAACCTAATGCAGGGCATAGTTTGAAATGCGCCCTTCCCTCTTCATCTGTGTCAATTTTTACACGATGAGAATCAGCAATGATCGTATCATTTCTTGAACAAAAAGAGGAACCATTAGAAGAAAAAAAAGTGGAAAAGTAATGAGAGTTAAAGGGTTTCTTACTTGTACCACTGGACGTGTGGTTTAGGATCTCCAACAGCAAAGCATGTAATTTCCAATTCTTTTCCTTCTTCCATTGCTGTAATCTGAGGTTTTTCCCTGAAGAATGGTAGACGCCCTTCCTGTTTGCTTTCCATAACCGCTTCGGCTTCTGCATAAGTGTCCAAACGTGTTCCAATTTCGTGTCTCAGACGTCTGAAAGTATGTGTTTTGTCAACACCGTAACGATTTATTCTTGCTTTACGTTCGTCATCGATTTCTTCATCCATTACGTCTGTAAATCTTCGACGTTCTCTGATAACCGGCGACTAAAAACATATGTACCTCTAGTTTTAAAACCAAAAAGCATGAAACAGTGCCTTACATCCCAATCAAATCCATTTTCGTCAGATAGAACAAGGCTTCTTCCTGGTCCTCTGTTTGCTGCAACTTTCATATATTCCCGAAGACGAACGGGGAAGTCCACATCTCTGAGTTGAAGAAGGTACGTGTCTGGACCATTTTGGTAACTGAAATTTAATAATTAAATGTAATATTCAATTTTGGCACACAATAATTAAGTTACTCACTGGCTTTCTGATTTGATGAGACCAATTTCGTAATTAAGTGGTGATCGAGTTGGTAATTGGTCTTCCCATGTTTTTGGAGACCTAGAGATTCTGTCTCTCGGAGCTGGTGAGGGTGGCGGGGTGTAGTATTCACCTGGTGGATATACCATACGAGAAGGGTGGGTAAAGGCACCCTCGAGGGGTCGTCGCCTGAACCATCTTCTACATGATGCATTATCGTACCATTCCCTAAAGCAAGCACGTCCATGATTGAAGTTTTATTTTGAAAAGTTCCAAGAAAGAAGAATTTTAAATCCCTCATTTTTGATTTTTGGTTTATTGGCACTTACGAAATCAATATTTCCAAATCAAACAGCGTAGATTCCGTAGCGTGACATATTTTTTTATGTAAATAATATTTGTCATCAAGACCATTTACTTTGTATTTGTATGTGTCTGTATCAACTGAATCCATTGTAAGTACTGACAGTAAATAGCAGATAAAATAATAGGCGCTATAAATGTTACTAGATCAAGAATTTATAAATTGTGTGCCAATTAACGTCTAATTTTAATTTTCACCCCCTACCAATATATAAATAGAGATGCACGGCAATAAGTAGTAGGTACTGCGCCAAGTGCAACTGTTGTGTACAAAAATTTTATGTCACTGTATTGGCAGTATAATTTTTTATTAAAATCTAATTTAGATCAGTGATGAAATTTTTGGATTTTGGATTTAGAAGTAAAGAACACATTGTGATGAAAATAACATTTGATGAATAATTTTTTAAAGTTACCCATTTAATTTACTTACCTTAAAAGTTTGTAATAATCACTGAGATACGTGGTACTTATTCTATATTCATCTTTAACTATTCTGTCAGCTCGTTCTAGCCATGGATGTCTTAATGCAGCATGGACGTCTAATCTATCTCCAGGTTTGTAAACGAGAAGTCTAGATATAAAATCGCGACCTTCACTGCTTATATTCCTCCACCATTCGTCATCGAAACTCCACTTTCCTAATACAAATTTATTTCGAGATAGATAATTTTATTCTTTTGGAACTTTTTACTATAAACGGTATCATTTGTTCGTACCTTCTCTAATTCTTGTAAGTGTCTCTCTGTCATCTTGCCCCAAGAAGGGCGAACGTCCAGAAAGTAGGATATAAGTTATAATTCCAACGCTCCACATGTCGTGGCCGAATCCCACGGGATCTCCACTAACGCATTCTGGACTTACGTACTCTGGCACTCCAAATCTCAAGGGATATAAACCACCCATGGCGATACGTCTTGATAAACCGAAGTCTCCAATTTTGAGGTCGTCACCACCAGGATGAGAAATCAATAAATCACCCAACTGAAAAGAATTTTAAGATTATTATTCTATTAATGAATTCAAAATTAAATTTTTCAATTTATATTCCCTTCTCTTTGCTTCGAAAAAGTAATTTTTGAAACGTTAATCTTTAAAGATGTATCTATTAAAGTCGTTATAAGCAGATTGTAATTAATTTTTTACCGTTAATCCCATATGTCCATAACCCCTTCCGTGCATATATTCCAGGCCCTGAAGCAGCTGTCGGATATAACCAGCAATATCCCCTTCTGTGTAATAATCCTGTCTGAGTAAATTGTCTTTAACAAGTTCACCACCACCAGCTAATTCAGTTACCAGGGTAAGACCGTCGTCAGTTTCATAAGCGTCATGCAACGAAATCAATTTCCTATTTTTCAATTGATTCATAATCTCATATTCATTAAACATGAATGGTCTCACTTCTCCGCGACCATGCATCACCTTTGCCGCATAGTTGCGACCTATAAACGAAGAAAAACGAGAAATTATTTCTGAGATGCGAACAGTTTTTCCGTAAAATATTTACCATTGGCACGTTCTACTGCATGGTACGTGATACCCTGAGTTCCACGACCCAATTCGTCACCAAGATCGTAGAAATCGTCGAATGGTTTCCTCTTAACTTTGATATTTGGTACGTTTCGGTAATCGTAGTAGTTGTAATCCATGTCGTTCTCTTCAACGTGAAGCATCGCACTGCTGGAAATTGTTCCTGCCAGATTTCTTGCACTCACCGAATACAAACCTTCGTCTTTTAAAATTACATCGTCTATTGTCAGTATATGAAGATCGGGTTCAACAAATTTGATCTGAAAGAGATTTCAATCAATTAAATTAAGGTCATTTGGTTGGGAATCATTTCTTATTACTTTTATTCTGCTAGAAGATGCAAGAGGTTTCCAGTCTTTGTACCATTTAACTTCTGGATATGGTTTTCCAATAATTCTTGCTTCAAATACGGCTTTACCTCGTAATTGGGTGTAATTTATATCTGGTCTTCTCAAAAACTCGGGATTTTCGGCCAATTCCAATCTAACTCGTTGTCTTGCTTCTCCATGTTCATTTCTGGCAACTGCTTCGTACCATCCGACGTCTCGATCCAACATTCTACGGAAAAGGATTATTTATGTATTAAACATTCGGACCATGGTCACATTACTTCCAAAATATCGTATAATGGCTACTAACTTGTTAATGAACAATGTAGCTTGTCCGTTCCTTGTGTAGCTCATGTCAAAACGTCCGCCGCTTTCAATCAGCTCATCATTGAAATAGTATGACATCTTGGGTTTTGGATACCCATAAACAAACCAGAACAAATTAGTATTTTGGTCTTTGACCCCGTACTGAACTGGATGCTCCTGACGAAGAAACATTGGAGCTTGTGCCATTCTGTCATGAGGAGGTCTATCTATGTCGAAATCTTTAGGAAAGTAAGGTGATGTTTCCGGACGGAAATCGATTTCTGGTGGTAGATACGGTTGGAACTTGGGCAACTCCGGCTCCAATCTCTCTCTGTTGCGCAAATCAAAATGCTTAAAAAGGAGTACAGCAGGACATGAAGGTAGCTTACCTATGGGTGATTGCAAACGGAGATGGGTCGCTAAGTCCGTACTTGTTCTCAACACGAACTCTAAACTTGTAATCTCTAAATGGTTCAAGATTGCGTACAGTACATGTGCAACTCCTGATTCCGCTTCTAACGGTAAACCAGTCTCCGTTTGGTAATTCCAACATTTCCAGTTGATATGTAACGGGAACCCTGGGACCACTTGGGATTGATGGTTTCCATGACAACGTGCAATGACGATCGGTCATTTGAGAAATTATTGGTGGATGAGACAAGGGCATTGGCGCTCCAGATTTCTTGTATTTGTTGTATTCGGTAAATTGGTCGACGGGGGTATGTTTGGACTTTGAATCAAGATCTATAAGAAGCAAAAAGGAAAATAGAGATTAAATAATTATACAATTAATTTCGTGTTGTGTGAGTATTGCTTACCATCAAAGCTGAGAGTAGCACAGCATTCATCACTTCCATGTTCGTTGCTGATTTTGCAGTAGTACCTTCCTAAATCGTCAGCATCAACCCCTGCGATGGTAAGGCGAAGCAATCCTGCAGTATCCTTGTCCATTTTGATTCTGTCGGATGGATATAGTTTCTGGTCGCCTCTGTACCATTCTACGTTCGGTTCCGGGAAACCAGCGGCGCAAGCCGTGAATTTCGCTGTCATTCCTTTGTATAATTCTGTATCTCCAATGCGTTTCAAAAAGTATGGAGCCTCAGAACGTTGGGCTGACTTTCTAAAAAGACAAAACATCTAAATGATGCATTTTTTTAATGGATTCTTATACTGAAAAAATCAGTTATACACTTTTCACAATTCGAAATTTTGGCAGATGCTGTTTAAGTTAACAAATAATAAATTAATTATTATATTATTTAGAAGAGAATTGACAATGTTGTATGAAAATAAATAAAAGTGAAACAAAAATACTGGTATGCAAGGGAAAAGAAGTAGGAAAAGAGCTAATGTATATATAGGAGACGGAAGATTAGAAGAAGCGGTCAATTTTATGTATATAGGAAGTCAGATAAGTCAGGACGGAAGGACTAGTAAGGATATAAAGCAGAGGATAGCGCAGGGTCAAGTCGCCTTCAATAAAAAGAAGTCAGTTCTATGCTCGTGAACGGTTAAATTCGAAATTCGAAAATGTTTGTTAATGGTGTATGTTTGGAGCGCGGTGTTGTACGGGTGCGAAACATGGACAGTGGGCGCGGCGGAAAAGAATGAAAGGTGAATGATGAGGATACCGTGGATAGAGATGATGAGAAATGACGAGGTATTAGAAAGAATAAGAGAACAGAAACAGGCGAAATAGGTTGGTAGGACATCTTATTAGGCATGAATGTCTAGTCAGAGAAATATTAAAGGTAGAAACAGGAGTTAAGAGGAGCAGAGGTGGACTTAGATTAGATTACATTTCGTAATTAGTTGAGGAGGTGGGTCCTTCTAGTTTTAGGGAAATGCGAAAATTAGCTCAGGATAGAAAAGAGTGGAAGTGCGTATTCAACCAGTCTTAAGACTCACGACCTTATGACGATAGAAGAGAAGCTATAGCTATAACGATATAGGTCAATGTGTTACTTTTTTATAATGTAATAAACAAGACGAACAAAAAGCCTTTTTAGGTTGCTTATTCAAAATGCTAAAAAGCTACTAAAAACGGAAGCATCAGTTTTTATGAAAATTGTATAATGTATTCCCTAGGTGATACTCGATAGGTATGCGCAAAGCAGTCTTCGTAATTGCCACATTGAATTCATTTAAGAACTTTAGAAGAAAAGCCAAGTATACAATTAATTTTATATATCGCGTTTCTTCTAAAATTAAATTAAGAGCGATGCTTGTTCGAATTGTTCTCGAGCTAAAAATTAATACGTGACGTGAATTTTTAGTTTAGTTTTATTCTGTCAATTTCTGCAGCATTCTTCTACGAACTTAAACAAATGGGCGATAATTCTAAATATTTTATATTTTTAGACCACGTATTTATTACCTTTCCAAAATTTCCACAGACTAATGGATTTAAAATATTCTTAAAACTGATTATTTCTGGTTTGTATGTTTAAATATTTATTGTAAGTATTTTAAACTCTTTAAAGTCTGCACTTGATTTATATTTGTCGGTAATATCTTAACTAAAAATTCACGATTTTTTCAGCCAGTTAAAATTCGTTGTCTGTAAAGTTCAGTATATAAACAAACTCATTTAATTTTGTACTAACATTTCGTTAACAACAGAAAGAGCCGCTTCGCAAGTGTCAGATCCTTCCTTGTTTACAGCGAATGCCCTGTACAGACCGATATCAGAAGGTTCGCAATTCAATACGTATAAGCAACAGGCATCCCCATCTCTTTTGATACGATATTTATCAGATTCCTGTATCTCAATACCATCTTTATACCATGTGACCTCAGGGGTTGGAACTCCCGACACCCTCGCAGGGAATTTAGCGTCTCTGTTTGGCATCTGCAGATTAAATTGTTTGTCATTTATGTTTAGAATTATTTGCAGTTTTGTACCTGTTGCAAATCGGTAAATCTTTGGGTAAACTTAGGAGGCGAAAACACTTTATGAACAATGGCTTTGGCTTCTGAAGAGTCACTTCCTAATGGATTGGTAATTGTGACGCTGTACACTCCTGCATCGGATGGCTTCGCGCAGGCTATATGTAAACCAACCTGTAACAATTAAGCAAATGAGAAGTAATTCAATGATAAAATTGATGCTGTATTTGCCAACCTTTCTACCATCGCAGCTCACAAATATTCGATCGGATGGCTCTAGAAGAACCCCATCTTTTTTCCATTCCACCGAAGGTATTGGATTTCCAGTGAAAGGGGCTTCCAAAACGAGAGGTTCGCCTTCATCGGTAATAACATCTCTTAGAGCATGCAACAAAAGTGGTCGTTCTTCTGGCTGGTCCAGTTTGGTGGCGGGTTTGACAGTCAATTCTGCCGAAGTTTCCGTTTCTCCTGTCTCATTGGACGCCACTGCTTTGTACAGCAAAGCGTCTCGCATTGGATCACACGATTCTATAACCAGGACGCTGGTTCCGTCGGGATATTCGGTGATTTTGATGTGTTTATTGTCAGGAACTATTTCAACACCGTTTCTGGTCCTGTAAGGAAACAGTATTACGTAAATACAAATAATTAATGTCGATTTCTTGATGCTCCTAATACCATTTAATTTTGGGTTCAGGGAATCCATGTGCTTTTACTTCAAATCTGACCGGATATCCTTCGACGACTGAAGTCGGAAAAAGGAATTTTTCAAAGATTGGTTTTGTGGGTCTCTTCTCTACTGACACTTTCGCGTCATTAATAGCTTCTCCATGTTTGTTTGTTACAAGAAGAGTGTATTTTCCGGCTTGTTCAGGTTTTACTGAGTCAATTACTAAGGCTATTCTACCGTCAGGATGTTGTTCGATGTGGACGTTCTGGCCTGATCTCACGGGTGATCCGTCTTTTTGCCATTTTACTTCCGGAGGTGGATAAGCTGTAACTTGGGCTTCAAGCCGCAACGGTTCTCCTACAGAGGCTTTCACGTCTTTGATGCACTTGGTGAATTTTGGTCTTTGAGGTTTTTCTATTATAGAATAGAATGTCAAAAAGTATCGGAACGACTGGCCTCTAAAACTTACGATCTACTGCAACAGCACATAGTCCTGCGGTTTCCCCATTAGGATTTTTGATTACTAATTTGTAAGCTCCGCTATCTTCGGGAAGAACCTTGTCAATGTTTAGTTTGACGGTACCATCAGGAAGTACAGTTCTTTTAATTCTTTCGTCGTCTTCCGGTATCAAGTCTCCGTCTTTGTACCACAAAACCTGTAAATTCACGTAAAGGTATTCTTTTTTTCATTTGAAATTGTTACATTACTTGAATGGTAGGTGATAGTTGCGAGATTTATTTTTTTTTACATATCCGTTGAATAATAAGGCGCCAGGTGTAGATGGGATACAGGGGAAAATTCTAAAACACGCAGGACAAGAGGTTAGGGATCGTACGTTTAAGTTAGTTAGTCATGTTTACGAGACGGGGAAAATCCCGGAAGATTATAAACGGAACGTGGCAGTAACATTACCTAAAAAGAGAGGCGCGATATATTTAGAACAATTATCTTAACTTCCCATGCGTCGAAAATCTTAACTAGAATTGTACAGAGGAGGATGGGAAAAAAGGGCGGAAGAACTATTAGGAGAAGATCCATTTGGGTTTAGAAGAAATAGAGGAACGCGGGACGTCATTCTAACTTTACGGGTAACAATAGAGAAAACGATAGAAAAAAAAAGTGCGTACGTAGGATTTGCAGATTTAGAAAAAGCTTTTGACAATGTTAAATGGGACAAGATGTTAAATATACTTAAAAATGTAGGGATGAGTTACAAAGATAGAAAAGCGATACATAGTTTGGATTAAGGGCAAGAGGCAGTTATAGAGCTTATAACAGTTGAATAATGAGGATACCGTGGATAGAGAAGGTTAGAAATGAAGAGGTGTTAGAAAGAGTAAGAGAACAGAGGACTCTATGGAAGTCAATAAGAAATAGGCGAGATAGGTTAGAAGGACACCTTCCCAGGCATGAAGGTCTCATCATCATCATAAGGTCGTCAGTCTTAAGACTGGTTGGACACGTACCTCCACTCTTTCCTATCCTGAGCTAAACTTCGCATTTCCCTAAAACTAGAACAGCCCACATCCTTAACTATTTGCGAA